ATAAACTTTTATCGTTTTTTGGTTTCCAGATGAAATTTTCAGAAAGGGTCGATGGACTGGCTTGAAACTTCATACAATGTTATCTTCTGATGTAATATAGAGTTGAGTGAGTTTGGGGTCAAAGAGTCAATCAACTACGAAGTCGCTGTTACTAAAAATAGTCTTTTATCGTCAGATTTTGGCTTCCAGATGATAACTTGTGATAGGGTTGACCAATTGTATTGAAACTTGATGCAATTTAATATTATTAGAGATCATACGGGTGGGATGGGGTTGGGAAAGAAAAGGTCAACTGTGCTATGAAGGTCACTTACTATAATGGACATATGCCACCATTTTTAGGGCCCTGCATCAAAGATGCGGGAAGCAAAGTTTATTAAAGTGACACCAATAGTAAACTGACCAATGTTCGAGGTCACTGTGTCAAAAGGTCAAGGTCAAATTTTACATATTTTTATGTGTATACTGACGATGTGACTGTAATGGTTAAATTTACCCTAAAAGGGTCCTCTCTGGTATGTCAGTGTTTTGGTTTGTTTTCCAGATAATTATTTAGTTGAATTAGGAATGACAAACTTGATTAAAACTTCATACAGTATAAATAACAAGGGAGTGCTTATTAAAGTTTTTCGCGTTATTTTCTTGTTTGTGCGCCCTTCCTTTCAAGACACTAGTTTCAGGAGGGAAGACTGTTCATGGCTATCAAGATCTATGTTTCTTAGAACAATTAATTAACGGCAGGGGACGAGTGTTGCATGCAACACTCACTGTAAGCTTGTTTTTTTCTAGATTTTATAAAAAAAATACTACTTTCTTGATAAGTGTAACATTACAAATAGAAAACATACCTTTCATCTTAGTTATACTAGAATTTTTGTGATAATGTTCAGTAATGTATTTGCGAGTATTTCTTTAACCAATTCATTTTAACATCCGTTAAGATAATGGTACTCGTCACCTATACACATCATACAAAGAGGGTATATTCTACTCTCTCGAGGTCCGGCTGTATGTGAACAATTTTTGTTATCGCTATTTCTCAAAATAAAAAAAAAACTTGCATAATTGATCTTTCTGAAATTTTGCATATATGTCCCACCTGAGGCCTAGTTATGCATATCGTCTTTTGGAACTGATCGATAACAAGATGGCCGACATTTTTTAAATTTTTACGATTAGAAATACCAACCTGAACTAACTGTATATCTACGACTGTCCCTCTGTCCAAATCCATCAGTGAATAACTGCAAAACTTAGCACAGTGTCCCGGGGTATCGCATCGGCCATCTCCTCCTATATAAATGTCATTGTCACTTTCGCACATTTCTGCAAAATATTTCACTTGTTTTTCTGTCCACATCCTTAGAATTGTAGGCTGTAAATAATGTCGCTGATGCTTGAAAAACGTGTCATGGCATATTACCGGGATGTCCATAAAGTTAAAAATTCTTAGAGTCTTTGAGGGCAACGATCCAGAAAATGAAATGCTGGCAGACAGCTGGACATTTCCTCTTGGAAGGGATCCCACCATTGACTGGCTTCTCCATTTAAAGGTCCTACCACACATGTCACATTTTTGATGCACACAACACATGGTACCGATCATTCGTGTCACTTCTCCTTGGCATGGTGATAAACAGTGTCTACATTTATCAAAAAGTTCAAGCAGTTTGCTTTCTTCAATTATGAGGAGTCTGTCTCCGCTCTGTCCACTGTGTAGCACTGTGTAGCACTGTGTAACAAAATTTGTAGGCTTATGAATATTTTTTTTTCTTGCAATGTCACACTTAGGGTTACATCAGCTAATTCTTGCCCATCTACTAGTCGTGTATTCTACTGCTAATGAAACAACACCTCTGTAATACCACCTCATGTTGTCCTAATGGAGGGATTGTTACGACGTTCGGATAGTATGAATTAAAACCTTGTTTTCGTCGCGTTGTTAGTCAATATAGAGTTTATTCAGGGCCAATTGAAGAGGCGGTATAACTTACCCTTTCTAAATAGCTGCATTGGCAACAGGCTTCATGCCATTTTTATGACTCCGATTGAGATAAAGCTGTTCAATTTCTTTCGATTTTTCATTATTGGATTCGCATATCGTTTACTCGCTTCTTGATATTTCGTTGAATATAATACCAGCGTATATTTCACATCTCTCACTTCGATTTTTGTCTTGACCGAGGCAGAGTTTGTATCTACCTAGTCAATCCTTCTACTTCCAGAACGAAAAAAGTATATCTCCCTCTCATAAGAGTTGTAGTTCACTCACCTAAACGAGTATTTTTAAACAATATATAGGATCCGTTATAACTTTGTATTAAATCCGAATAAGACACAAATATCTTCGCTAATAATATACAAGGAATATGTGTGTTTTCAATCAGTATTTCAGGGGTCGACTTGTCCAGTTCATGGCCAAGACCGTCAGTCATAACGATAAACACACAGGCTGAGATCTTTCGCCAACGCCTTGTGTGACGTGTGAAAATGACGCAACAGGGCTGCCGTCTCCTTTTGACTTTTTCCTAATCTTTTTCATTACATTTTGTACTTGAAAATTGTTTGAAGTGTCATTTTCCATATTGTATGATAAAAAGGAACTCAATTTTATGAAACTTGTTTAGAAGTTCCTTAATTTTGCTTGCCAAGACTCGCAAGGACAGTAACTTCTAAAACTTTTTTACTAAAATATGTCATGAAATGAATACTTATTTTGAAACCTATATTTACTTACCTATATGAGAGCAGTATAATTTTATCGTTTTCTAAAATATATATCAATGAAGTTAGCTTTGTATATACATATGTAAATGAAAACAACAGTTATTGTGTCTAGGGTATATTGTATATGTATTTATGAATTGCAAAATAGTGTTGTGATTAGAAAACATTTGATATAATGAATAAATTTATCTCGGTGAACATCTATCAGAAAAGAAAGTTGATGAATGAAGATTGAAGACACTCATTGAATTTGTGATGGAGCGTAGTAGTGTACAGAATAAAGGTGTTTTTTTCCCGGGGAGGATATTCAAGATTCGAAGAACTTTTCAAACTCCATATTAGTCATTCCACTTTTCAAGTAAACAGTAGCAACAATATGACTGTAACCCTTCGCTGATAAATGGAAATATTATGTCTAATTCCGAGTGAGTTATCTCCCATTTCCGAATGGGTTATTTCCCTTTTCATAGTGTGCTATCGACCAAAATCTACTCCTGTGTTTATATTGCTTAGATAAATGTATTTCCCATCATGCCTTTCTCTTGAGCGTGATATGTTTGTATTATGTAGATTGTTTATACATTACTCCGTTAGGTAATACTGTTGTTGTTTACCAAGTTCTCAATCCGAAAAATGTTTATAACCCGAAGATAACCTGAACAAGTTTCGCCGATATCTTGATGAGTAATAGAAGTAATAAGGTACTTGTCACATGGAGTCACGTGGACTTACAAATGATCACGTGGTGTACAATATAAAGGCATGGAATGGTGCAGTGGTCACGTGGATTCATGTGGACTTACATAAGAATGCTTTAGGGTCATATCTATAATGATAACATACCACATGAGACAGTTGTTATATTTTAATGAGTTTTCAATACAACATTTGTTATTCTTTAACGAGTTTTCAATACAATATCTTTTAAAATACTTTAATCACAAAGAAGAATAGGAAACCTATGATTGTACAATGTATTTATAACCATACTATATTTCTCGTGTAGATATAAACTATTGATGTCTATCAGATATATGGAAGAATACACGTGGATACAGTTTATTATGTGGTTAAGAATATTGTCATTAGGTTGATAATTTCACATCAGATAAATTGATGTCGTGGTCACTCCAAACCTAGCATTGTTGTCAGATACACTGTAAATTTGTGTCGTGGTCACAGATACACTGTAAATTTGTGTCGTGGTCACATACATTGTAAATTTGTGTCGTGGTCACAGATACACTGTAGATTTGTGTCGTGGTCACATACACTGTAGATTTGTATCATGGTCACAGATACACTGTAAATTTGTGTCGTGGTCACAGATACACTGTAGATTTGTGTCGTGGTCACATACACCGTAAATTTGCGTCGTGGTCACATACACTGTAAATTTGTGTCATGGTCACAGATACACTGTAAATTTGTGTCGTGGTCACAGATACACTGTAGATTTGTGTCGTGGTCACATACACCGTAAATTTGCGTCGTGGTCACAGATACACTGTAAATTTGTGTCGTGGTCACAGATACACTGTAAATTTGTGTCGTGGTCACAGATGCACTGTAAATTTGTGTCGTGGTCACAGATACACTGTAAATTTGCGTCGTGGTCACAGATACACTGTAAATTTGCGTCGTGGTCACAGATACACTGTAGATTTGTGTCGTGGTCACAGATACACTGTAGATTTGTGTCGTGGTCACAGATACACTGTAGATTTGTGTCGTGGTCACAGATACACTGTAAATTTGTGTCGTGGTCACAGATACACTGTAAATTTGTGTCGTGGTCACAGATACACTGTTAATTTGTGTCGTGGTCACAGATACACTGTAAATTTGTGGTCAGAGATACACTAGATTTGTGTCGTGGTCACATACACTGTAAATTTGTGTCGTGGTCACAGATACACTAGATTTGTGTCGTGGTCACAGATACACTGTAAATTTGTGTCGTGGTCACAGATACACTGTAAATTTGTGTCGTGGTCACAGATACACTGTAAATTTGTGTCGTGGTCACATACATTGTAAATTTGTGTCGTGGTCACAGATACACTGTAGATTTGTGTCGTAGTCACATACACTGTAGATTTGTGTCGTGGTCACAGATACACTCTAAATTTGTGGTCACAGATACACTGTAGATTTGTGTCGTGGTCACAGATACACTGTAAATTTGTGTCGTGGTCACAGATACACTGTAAATTTGTGCCGTTGTCACTGATACTTGGTAAGTTTGTGTCGCGGTCACTCCGAACCTGTTGTTACAGATAAATGTGTGTCGTGGACAGCCCGAACCTAGCACTGTTAGTGGCACTCAATGTGTCTTCATGTGGGTTCTTTTCGTCTAACGGACCAACATTACGCCCGCTTATTTGTGTAATTTTCTGTGCAAACTTGAACTTATACTTGATATCTCTACAGAAATCTGGCGCATTCGTCTCGCATAACTTGTGCGCTTTTTTCACAACTGGATTCACGGACAGATCGTTCTTATTCAAAGCCAGTTGAAATTGGAGTGGTGACGATACAGGAATTTCTATCATTGTATATCCACGAGGGTCAAGGACGCAACCAAACAGAGTCGTCTCCTCGAACGAATCCAGTAATGTGAAAAGGCCGTTAAATGTGGTCAGTCGAGGTCGATTTCTACCACTGAGAAATCTGACCAGAGATGGGAACTTGGACGTCGCTATCAGACACTCGCTGTCAACAGAAAGACGACTGTCGTCACTTTGGTTAGGTATGACCTCCACAAATTCGCCGGTCTGTGACAGGGGAAGAAGGACATCCACATTTTTCTCGTCCCTACACTTGAGATACCTGACCTGTGTTCTGGCGCTGGACCGGATTGTGAAGAGTCTGCCTTCACTTTGTATGTGTGATGTACCCGTGTACACACGATCTATTAAGAATACGTTCCCGGGGCCATAGTTCACATTGTCGTAATCTTTAGACTCCGGACCAGACCCTATTACGTTGGCGGTCAGTTTGGTCAGTGTGAGGAATGCCTGTACATGGTTCCGGGACAAGCTCTCGAGATCCCGATGACCTTCGCTGTCTTTGACAGTCCGTGAATTTAAACGGAGAAACCTTCCTGTAACAAGAACATTGAAGTTACGTTATATAATTACATTTTGGAAATAAGCATGTGTACATGTATTTGTACTTGCGAAAGAAGATGTGCTTATATAAAACACTATGTTCCCACCCAGTTGCAATGTTCACTATAGACAAACAAACAGACACCACAAACACAAAACGCCCCCGATCTTTCGAACCGGGAAGAGGAGGTATAAAACCATAGGATTCATCGTGATTTAATATAATTACTATCATTTTGACCCTTTCGGGGACAGTTTCGACCAGACTTATTATGGTGAAGTAAAAACCTATATAGGAAATAGGAATAGGAACGGGGTAATTTAATTTTTAAAGGAATTATTTGATTGGTCAATAAATAGAATCGACCAATCAAACACGTCCTTTGAAAACTTAAGTTTCCCTGTTCCTATTTCGGTAATACTATCAACACGAAAAGAGATATGTTGTCTGAGATTATTTTTAAGTGGGCACTTGACATCCGATTCGGAAATAGTATACGTATGTAACAACAAACCATGTCAATAGAAAGGTAACTAAATACATGCCTACGGCGTTTTTACTTGATACCAGCAGACACACATAGCTACAATGGGGAAGTTGCCGGTCTTGTTTCGCATTCACAGTGAACGTAAGGTGTGTTAATGTAGTCAGTTATATTTCAAGTCGTATTTTCTTTGTAAAGAATTCATTTATGATGATTTAGGTACCAAAGAGGTAAACAATAATCAGTATTTGGCCGAATATCGGCGACTATTTTTAAGGTGATGAATTTGTCTATCGTTGATCCCCTCTACTAGTTATACCATACAAGTTGTCAACACCCAGAAACATGGTTACATGTCCCGCTAACACCAGTGAGGGTAAGATTAAAATAGACGTCACCTGCCCTGCATCTAAAAAGAAAATAATAAGTTTATTTCCGCAAACTTGAAAACCCATTTTCCGTGTTTGCTTCTACACAAACACCATGCCCCGAGGTCTTGATACTTTGAAATTGAAAAGGAGTAGCTAAAAGCTCTCTAAATATTCCACCCCTGTGACCTTGAAAGTTGTTCAACATCATGCATTAAAAAAAGGAAAAATACGTGGGTCAAGATAATTAATTTGAACAGACTTGATATAGACATGTGACCAGCAAAGTATCATGACACTTTGCTTTTTAATTAAGCAGAAAAAAATTATATTATTTTCGTGAAATTTTATTGATAAATATTTAAGTTTTGTTCCAAAATTCCTGTCGTCAACATTGAAGATATTTGGACTCTTTACAACAGAATGATTATCTACAAAACATAATCAAAGGGAAACAACTCTCCTTGTATAAAATGGTAAAATTAGAAATTATTTGCATGGAAGAAATAATCCACCACCATGTTGTTTGTTATAGTAATGTTACCTACTTATCAGACATCCATTCAATACACTTATCATCACAAGGGATTAGGTCCAGAGTGTTCATTGTGTCCTCGCCCCAAAGTCAGAACAACAAATATAGGGGATAGGTATTGAAAGCGGCATTAACATTGGATTTTTATTATTTTCGACATTGATGAAGTCAAAGTTGTTCCGACTTACTGACGTCTTTCTTCACAGAAAATTACATATTAGCATTCTAAAGTTTGAAAACAATCATCATTACACACATCCACCCGAATTCTCGATTGTCCATCAGTGTTAATGATGAGTATTTGGCGGGCTTTTCCCCGTTCTTGTTGGTCCCGTCATGTCTAACACCTCAACAACTGATTCTACACCAGATTTGTCACACACAGTATTACAAACTGCCACGGAGTACAAGTTTTGATTCGTAGTGAGGATGGCCAGTAACGGGAAAACACCATCAATCATCTCGTACAATCAAAGAAATGAGGTATCTTTTAAAGTAATATTTTTAAGTTTTGAACACAGCTGACTCCTGTTAATTTAGGGTTTAGGTTAATCTTTTCGGGTAGGTGAGCTAACAGGCCTGCCAGCTACTGACAACTTCGCAAGCAAATGAAGACGTATAAAAAAAAAATTCATATGCTGGAGTATTGAGTAATGTTTGTCTATTTAACGGCACGCCTGTTTACCATGGCACGTCATAACACGACGACATCGTTGAAAAAAATGTACATTTTCAAACATTTTCGAGGTGTATTAACGTATGACGAAAGTTGTGCAATAGTACACACACGCTTACACGTGTTGCTTCTACGTAACTTGATACCAGCAGAAATGATGTTAACAGCATCCAAAACTCAATTCTAAATAGAGTTGATCTACCGATGTAGGATAACTTGTGTGTCACCTAAATAGAGTTGATCTACCGATGTAGGATAACCTGTATGTCACCTAAATAGAGTTGATCTACCGATGTAGGATAACCTGTGTCACCTAAATAGAGTTGATCTACCGATGTAGGATAACTAGTGTGTCACATAAATAGAGTTGATCTACCGATGTAGGATAACCTGTAACCTGTAGAGTTGTCTACCTAAATAACCTGTAGTCACCTTTGATCTACCGATGTAGGATAACCTGTATGTCACCTAAATAGAGTTGATCTACCACCTAAATAGATGTAGGATAACCTGTATGTCACCTAAATAGAGTTGATCTACCGATGTAGGATAACCTGTATGTCACCTAAATAGAGTTGATCTACCGATGTAGGATAACCTGTATGTCACCTAAATAGAGTTGATCTACCGATGTAGGATAACCTGTGTTACCTACCGATGTAGGATAACTTGTGTGTCTGTTGATCTACCGTCACCTGTATGTCACCTAAATAGAGTTGATCTACCGATGTAGGATAACTTGTGTGTCACCTAAATAGAGTTGATCTACCGATGTAGGATAACCTGTATGTCACCTAAATAGAGTTGATCTACCGATGTAGGATAACTTGTGTGTCACCTAAATAGAGTTGATCTACCGATGTAGGATAACTTGTGTGTCACCTAAATAGAGTTGATCTACCGATGTAGGATAACCTGTGTCACCTAAATAGAGTTGACACCTGTGTCACCTAAATAGAGTTGATCTACCGATGTAGGACAACCTGTATGTCACCTAAATAGAGTTGATCTACCGATGTAGTATAACCTGTGTCACCTAAATAGAGTTGATCTACCGATGTAGGATAACCTGTATGTCACCTAAATAGAGTTGATCTACCGATGTAGGATAACCTGTATGTCACCTAAATAGAGTTGATCTACCGATGTAGGAACACCTGTGTTACCTAAATAGAGTTGATCTACCGATGTAGGATAACCTGTATGTCACCTAAATAGAGTTGATCTACCGATGTAGGATAACCTGTGTTACCTAAATAGAGTTGATCTACCGATGTAGGATAACCTGTATGTCACCTAAATAGAGTTGATCTACCGATGTAGGATAACCTGTATGTCACCTAAATAGAGTTGATCTACCGATGTAGGATAACTTGTGTGTCACCTAAATAGAGTTGATCTACCGATGTAGGATAACCTGTATGTCACCTAAATAGAGTTGATCTACCGATGTAGGATAACCTGTATGTCACCTAAATAGAGTTGATCTACCGATGTAGGATAACACCTAAATAGAGTTGATCTACCGATGTAGGATAACCTGTGTGTCACCTAAATAGAGTTGATCTACCGATGTAGGATAACCTGTATGTCACCTAAATAGAGTTGATCTACCGATGTAGGATAACCTGTATGTCACCTAAATAGAGTTGATCTACCGATGTAGGATAACTTGTGTGTCACCTAAATAGAGTTGATCTACCGATGTAGGATAACCACCTGTATGTCACCTAAATAGTAGTTGATCTACCGATGTAGTGTCATAACCTGTAGGATGTCACCTAAATAGAGTTGATCTACCTGTATGTCACCTAAATGTAGGATAACCTGTATGTCACCTAAATAGAGTTGATCTACCGATGTATAACCTGTGTGATAACCTGTAGTAACTTGTGTGTCACCTAAATAGAGTTGATCTACCGATGTAGGATAACCTGTATGTCACCTAAATAGAGTTGATCTACCGATGTAGGATAACCTGTATGTCACCTAAATAGAGTTGATCTACCGATGTAGGATAACCTGTATGTCACCTAAATAGAGTTGATCTACCGATGTAGGATAACCTGTATGTCACCTAAATAGAGTTGATCTACCGATGTAGGATAACCTGTATGTCACCTAAATAGAGTTGATCTACCGATGTAAGATAACCTGTGTCACCTATATGCATGAAGTATCACAAACGAGTTATGTCAGTATATCAAATCTGCTTCACATCGAAATGCATGATTTTGTTATAATTATCAATATAATTGATGTTTTGAACACAAACCTTCGTAATCAGCGGGAATGACGATAGTTTCGTCCTTTTCTGTATAACGTTGAGTCTCTGGGTCCAAAACAACATTACGAGCGAGCAATTTCCGAATTGTTCGTTTGTGGTAGAGATACACTGGTTGTGACAGGTTAACAGGAAGCGACGAGTTGTTTTTGGTAAAAATGCACTGCTGTGTACATTTTACGGTCTGTGGAAAAGGAAACTGTTTTAGGAGTTGGCTCACGGTAAACGACTGTGTACTCCATTGGGCTCGATTCCCTTCAGGCTTACCCGAATGTGACCTGTTGATTGTACCATTTTGGCTGATAGAACGTCTACTGGACATTTTACACTGTCAATAAGATTTCTTTATCCACAATTTCACAACACTTCAGGTTCCTTAGCTCCAGAAATGCTATCCTTGTGTTATTGCTCCATTTTCTAATCACAGATATTCACATGTTGAGGAATCTACAGGACTATTCGTGGGCGAGCAGAACGACTGTCTGAAGCCTCATGGGTAAACCACACGAGTTCAGCCTGTGGTCAGTCTGACCATGAATATATATAAACTCGCCGATATAATAGTCATTCACCACGAGATCCCGTCCACTCTAATTGTCAGTTATTGTGTAAATTGCTCCACTCTCATTCTAGTCTAAACCTGGAATTCTAAATGTAAAACCTGCTAACCTGTTGGACAGGTTTTCCCCTGAGCGGGTATACTGGGTCGGTAGCAGCACTGCCTGGGACCTATTGAAAGTTATTTCCCTGAGCACTTGGACTCGCGAGGTACTCATGGGTAGATAATCAGATTACAATACCTATAACTCTGACAGATCGTCACCAAGATATGGTCTTTATGTAATGAAGTTGTTCAAAAACCGGAGATCACACCCGTATTCGGTGTCGTACGAGTGAGGTTGTGTATTTACAGGAACAGGTCAAGTTTAAACATTCCATAGTGGTCCCATATAAGTCTACCCGTTTGTTGTTTCAGTGTTACTAAACAAGCCCAACTCTACATACACTAACAAAAGATAATCCTGTTGGAGTTTTGGTGTACAAACTATACCAACACACTCGGATCTTTCCACGATAAGCAGTGAAACTTCCTGGATGCCACAGAAAAACTAAAATCTTGCTTTATTTATTTATTTACTAAACTGGTCTTACGATCATTAATACGGAATTTTAACGGGCGAATAAAAAATAAATGTGCGTGGAAAATTATCTAGTTAACAGAGACATATGACCTATACTACATTACCGGGGTATTATCTACTAATAGAGACGTGTGACCTATACTACATTACCGGGGTATTACCTACTAATAGAGACATAAGACCTATACTACATTACCGGGGTATTACCTACTAACAGAGACATATGACCTATACTACATTACCGGGGATATTACCTACTAATAGAGACATATGACCTATACTACATTACCGGGGTATTACCTACTAACAGAGACATATGACCTATACTACATTACCGGGGTATTACCTACTTATAGAGACATATGACCTATACTACATTACCGGGGTATTACCTACTAATAGAGACATAAGACCTATACTACATTACCGGGGTATTACCTACTAACAGAGACATATGACCTATACTACATTACCGGGGAATTACCTAGTAACAGAGACATATGACCTATACTACATTACCGGGGTATTACCTACTAATAGAGACGTGTGACCTATACTACATTACCGGGGTATTACCTACTAATAGAGACATATGACCTATACTACATTACCGGGGTATTACCTACTAATAGAGACATATGACCTATACGACATTACCGGGGTATTACCTACTAATAGAGACGTGTGAGCTATACTACATTACCGGGGTATTACCTACTAATAGAGACGTGTGAGCTATACTATATTACCGGGGTATTACCTACTGATAGAGACATATGGCCTATACTACATTACCCGGGTATTACCTACAAATAGAGACGTGTGACCTATACTACATTACCGGGGTATTACCCACTAATAGAGACATATGACTTATACTACATTACCGGGGTATTACCTACTAATAGAGACATATGACCTATACTACATTACCGGGGTATTACCTACTAATAGAGACGTGTGACCTATACTACATTACCGGGGTATTACCTACTAATAGAGACAATTCACCTATACAACATTACCGGGGTATTACCTACTAATAGAGACATATGACCTATACTACATTACCGGGGTATTACCTACTGATAGAGACATATGGCCTATACTACATTACCCGGGTATTACCTACAAATAGAGACGTGTGACCTATACTACATTACCGGGGTATTACCTACTAATAGAGACATATGACCTATACTACATTACCGGGGTATTACCTGCTAATAGAGACGTGTGACCTATACTACATTACCGGGGTATTACCTACTAATAGAGACAATTCACCTATACAACATTACCGGGGTATTACCTACTAATAGAGACATATGACCTATACTACATTACCGGGGTATTACCTACTAATAGAGACATATGACCTATACTACATTCCCGGGGTATTACCTACTAATAGAGACGTGTGACCTATACTACATTACCGGGGTATTACCTACTAATAGAGACGTGTGACCTATACTACATTACCGGGGTATTACCTACTAATAGAGACAATTCACCTATACTACATTACCGGGGTATTACCTACTAGTAGAGACATTTGACCTATAATACATTACCTAATACAGGGATTTTGCCCACTAATACAGACATTTAGACTATACTACATTTTCCGTTACAGCGATATCTTTGTATACAGATAGTGACAATGATATCGAACGCTTATTGTCCTCTCTATACTCATCTCTTAACAATAACTCCAACACAAGACTGCCGCTAGCCAGTAGTGGACAATAGAGTGTCACCCGGCGTTTATTACGAAATATAAAGACAAGAATACATATCTTTACAAACTTGGACATTTTTCATAACTCCACAAACGACTCTTACACCCGCATACATTCCGCCCAGGAATAGCTTGAGTAGATAAAAAGAGCTAAGCGAGCCACTCAACCTGAAAACCTATCAGGAAAACAGGAAGTGTACCAACCCTCAATGCTTAAAGCTCAGCGCGTTGGATTTTTAACAACTCAAAGCCATTCCGTACTGAAATAAATACAGTTAAAAATGTAATACTTGGCAAAATTTCTCTTGACTGTACTTGTGGGTGTCCACGGCTAGAGTGCCCGATACCTCGCCTACCCTTACACACTTTGTTAACTTGCACGTGCGGACAACGCGTCGCACTCCCATTGGACCATACAACTCTCACGAAGATACCCGAATACCGTACGTATAGGACAATTATTTTCCGCTATTCTCCGAAACGCGAAAAATATGAAATTACTCGCACTCTTACCTCGCTCAATATCCCAAACAGTGCTGAATTTTAAAAACATAAGACTTACCTGGCAGGATTGTGAGGTGATTCGGTCAACCGTGACGTTCCATACATCTAACACCAGTATAGTGAGCAGAACACTTGATTTTGCAATGAAAATAGACTGACAATAGGGCGAGTAGACGCTTTGTGAAGAACACAATATAGATGTCTATCGTATGATTTATATATGGTGTACGCCTTTCTAGATTTTAAGGTTAATGTGACTGCTGGGCAGAGTTGTATCAAAGAACTATGAATCATATGATCTCAAACGGAAACTAAAGCCTATACACTGAAGTCTTAGAACTATTTGATTAATATTGGTAATGGAAGGTTGAGAAATGAATCCGGGAACGATATGGCCAGTCATTGGTGTCCGCCCTGGAGCCCTTTCTTGATAACGACAGAACACCAACTTCACAACATTCAATAATTATATCACTGAAATAATTCAGGATTTAAATGATACGAAATGTTTCATTCTGAAGTCAGAATACGCCAAAGTACAACGCCCGATTTTTATTTTGGTAAAAACACGTGGTACGGAGGAAACATTTCAAGATGGTGGCAAGTAAACATACAGATGGTCGAAACCTACTAATTTGGAGTAGAGTGTTATACGTCTTATGTAATACATTATCATTTATATCATATGTAATAGAGTAATAGAGCATGGTATATTTCATTTGGGATAGGGTATTATATACATGTCCATCAATTTTGAAGTATTTAGACAGGTGCGTGGTGCACAAAATAGTCATCAGCGACCCTCTTGTCACCATGAGACTAGCTGGTTGCAATATTATCTACAATTTTGATTTCATTACACATGTTAAATGTATGTTTTGATGAAAAGTCTAAGAATTTCACAACATTTTTTTTTCTAAAAATAAAGCATTTTCATTTAATTACTCGTTTCATAAAGAAATAGTCACGACAACTGAACGTCCCAGGGCTATCACAAATCATTTGTTCAGAACCGAAACAGAATGATGTCATTTCAAATAACAGGGTTATAAAGACACGTGGGGATGTTTATTTGACTTAGATGTGTATCTTACACCTAAATTCCATTACGCCGTCGAGTAGTATCGAGAATTTCGCCGGAGGAACCATTCTCTCGAATAGTCACAACTTACACTGTCTGGTCTTAGGTACTGCTGTTAATCTCTAGGCTGTACTAAGTCTCGTGGTGTCATTATGCCCTGTTGCACAAGTTAGTATCTGACGAGAATATACAAGTATATCAACATAGGACACGTCACGAACTGGTTCATTCCAACTACACCAGATGTAGTATATACTACAAAAATATCAGTGCTTGGAACACTTTGCATGAAACTTTATGTAATATTACTTTTTTCACGAGGTGCCGTTCGATGATAATAAAACTATGACGTCGCACATATTTAGATGTCAATTTCACAACACAATGGAGATACTGGGCATGTTGAAATCTTAAACTTAAAGAATGACGTGTATGGAAGTTCTAAAAAATGTGTGCTTGATTGATGAACGTGTTGATGATTTTATGTAGTAAACAAAATCATAAATAGGTTTCAAATCTTAGTACCTTGGCATCACTGAAAAGTCCTAGAAGAACGAAACAACTTTATGATGCAGTTAAGTTTTTTGTTCTACTGAATTAAATTCCTCAGTTTTATCGAAAGATGCCATTCCCTGGTGTCTTTTGTAATATATTATGTTTTCAGTAGTTTTTAGAATAATTGTGTCAATTCAAGTCATGCCTTCTTATTTTTTGTTATTTTGTACAAAGACATGACCTTCAATTCTCTTTGAATACATGCTGAATTGTCTAGATATATACCATGTTGTAGAACGTTGTCAGGGATGGCCACATCTACCATGTAGTAGAACGTTGTCAGGGATGGCCACATCTACCATGTAGTAGAACGTTGTCAGGGATGGCCACATCTACCATGTAGTCTAACGTTGTCAGGAATGGTCACATCTACCATGTAATAGTTGGGGATGTCCACATTTACCATGTAATAGTCGGGGATGTCCACATCTACCATGTAGTGTAACGTTGTCGGGGATGTCCACATCTACCATGTAGTGTAACGTTGTCGGGATGGCCACATCTACCATGTAGTGTAACGTTGTCAGGGATTTCCACATCTACCATGTAGTGTAACGTTGTCGGGGATGTCCACATCTACCATGTAGTGTAACGTTGTCGGGATGGCCATATCTACCATGTAGTGTAACGTTGTCGGGAATGTCCACATCTACCATGTAGTGTAACGTTGTCGGGGATGTCCACATCTACCATGTAGTGTAACGTTGTCAGGGATGGCCACATCTACCATGTTGTAGAACTGATTTCGATCACCTGTGATAATGGATGTTCATCACCTGTATAAATCCCCACAATAAAAAAAAACAGGTCATTGGTCATATTTGAAATATACATTACGTTGTCAGACAATTATCGCATATCAGAGGAAGTTTTTATACCGCGTACACAGTATACAATTCTATTAAAAGGGGACTGTTCACCAGTGTGATCGCCGAAGCATGACCAATGGGCTGAGAGATACACTTCTAAACATGGTGGATATAGAGGTTGAACAGGTATGGCGAGTATTCAAATATTATTTTAGTTAGCGTATCGTCGTGTCCATTTTTTGTGTATGTGAATACCGAGCGATGTGATTTGAAATCTACGCCATCAGCTGGCTCTCTGAGACACGGAGAGGAATCTCGTGTACACAGCTTTTGTTCAGAAAGTGTGCCGTGAACATCACAAGGACTGTTGACATGCTGGTATTACGTTTATATATTGTCCGATTAATTTACCTCAGTTCGTCAACAATACCAGTATATGTGTTATACTGTGCCATTGTGCCACACAGTCTTGTTAAGCTGAAGTTCTGAAGTCACAGTGGCTTTCGAATTCATGTTTTAGCCGACAGATATTTTTGTTTTGTTTGTTCAACGTAAGCTAAGTGTGTGATTATATATAGTAAAATAAGCGAACATGCTATACCTTAAGTGCTACAATATAAATGGATTCGTGACACCAAACATTTAATTTCTGACACAGCTACATCACAGGACTATCTACCATGTATACTGTGTTGAAGCTCCTGGTGAACGACTATCGGATAACGTTGGGCGACCTTGCAGTTCGTTGCAGGTACCAGTAACACATTTCTAAGGAACAAGATGTGACGACACTAAAACTCTCTGTAAGTACCAAGAGAAACAAAAAGGATCTCCAATGGGGCAACGTTGTTGTTTACTGTGCAGCACGTGAACACCACAAGAAACACGCCCAACAACAATGCATTTTCAGAAATCAGTTTTGAAAAACAGCACAATCATGGATAGTTAATTTTTCGACGCACATTTTAAGCAATGTTGAGGTGGAAAGTAAATGTTGTAAAGAAATCTCAAGATCGTGTGACAGCTGATTTCACATGGAGTACCCAGTCTTTTACTTTACAGGGTATCAAGGAAAGATTCAAATTGCCTTGTGTGGTAAGGTGTTGCTACGAATCCTGTCCTGTAGATTGGGAAGATTTCCACTTTGATCTCTCTCAACCATTGTTGCTCCACAGTTTCCGAAGAGTCCAGAAACTGCGAGTCAGATGTGTCCACAAAAACGCCAGTGGTCAGTCTCAAGAGTTTGGTCCAGTTCTTGTTATTCCGGAAGACTACGATGGTAAGTAGTCAGTACAAAGGGTTAAGTCAGTATAGTGTATTATTACTATCAATATATATATAGTCTTAAGGTCTGGTCTTGGTAACGTGTGAGATAAATATCTCCAAAGATGACAAAATGTGTCGTCTACAAGAAAAAAATATTTATCATCAAAACTGAAAGTAGTGTTGTTTGAGATAATGATAATGTCTTGTCTGTGATAGTGATAATGTATTGTCTGTGATAGTGATAAGGTCTTTTCTGTGAAAGTGATAAAATCTTGTCTGTGATAGTGATTAGGTCTTGTCTGTGATAGTGATAATAAATTGTCTGTGATAGTGATAAGGTCTTGTCTGTGATAGTGATAATGTCTTGTCTGTGATAGTGATAAGGTCTTGTCTGTGTGATAGTGATAATGTATTGTCTGTGTGATAGTGATAATGTATTGTCTGTGATAGTAATAAGGTCTTGTCTGTGTGATAGTGATAAGGTCTTGTCTGTGTGATAGTGATTAGGTCTTGTCTGTGATAGTGATAAGGTCTTGTCTGTGATAGTGATAAGGTCTTGTCTGTGATAGTAATAAGGTCTTGTCTGTGATAGTGATAAAGTCTTGTCTGAGATAAAGATAATGTCTGAGATTCAAGCAAAAATAAGGTCAATGATAACCTGTAGATATTTCATTCTTACATTGTAATGTTACTGATCTGTATAGTGCAGACAATATTTATAACAACTAAAGCTCACCAAGGACACGTAACATATGAAAACAATGTATAACACACAGGTTTATAATACAATGTAAAAAACACAGGTTTATAATACAATGTATAACACACAGGTTTATAGTACAAAGTATAAAACACAGGTTTATAATATAATGTATAAAACACAGGTTTATAATACAATGTACAAAACACAGGTTTATAATACAATGTATAACACACAGGTTTATAGTACAATGTATAACACACAGGTTTATAGTACAATGTATAAAACACAGGTTTATAGTACAATGTATAAAACACAGGTTTATAACACAATGTATAAAACACAGGTTTATAGTACAATATACAAAACACAGGTTTATAATACAATGTATAACACACAGGTTTATAGTACAATGTATAACACACAGGTTTATAATACAATGTAAAAAACACAGGTTTATAGTACAATGTATAAAACACAGGTTTATAGTACAATGTATAAAACACAGGTTTATAGTACAATGTATAACACACAGGTTTATAGTACAATGTATAAAACACAGGTTTATAGTACAATGTACAAAACACAGGTTTATAGTACAATGTATAAAACACAGGTTTATAACACAATGTATAAAACACAGGTTTATAGTACAATGTATAAAACAGAATTATAATACAATGTATAACACACAGGTTTATAGTACAATGTATAACACACAGGTTTATAGTACAATGTATAAAACACAGGTTTATAGTACAATGTATAAAACACAGGTTTATAACACAATGTATAAAACACAGGTTTATAGTACAATGTATAAAACAGAATTATAATACAATGTATAACACACAGGTTTATAGTACAATGTATAACACACAGGTTTATAGTACAATGTATAAAACACAGGTTTATAATACAATGTATAAAACACAGGTTTATAGTACAATGTATAAAACAGAATTATAATACAATGTATAACACACAGGTTTATAGTACAATGTATAACACACAGGTTTATAGTACAATGTATAAAACACAGGTTTATAGTACAATGTATAAAACACAGGTTTATAGTACAATGTATAAAACACAGGTTTATAATACAATGTATAAAACACAGGTTTATAATACAATGTATAAAACACAGGTTTATAATGATATTGTGATACAGTCAGTTGTAGGTAGTACCGACAGAAGTATTTACGTACGAGATTTAGATATCACTTTACAAACACTGAGTAAATAAAAATCACAAATAAGACGAAACGAACCGTCCTTTTTACTGAACTCGATTGTACCCAAATGATTCTTGTGACATGTAAATAGCTGTCGACACTGGGAAGGGAGGTATAGACCAGTTTCACCGGGAATTCATTACAATGACTATAGCGTGAATTCCTCGTGTTTGTTGTGTGAAATTCAAGTCTATCGCTTCATCGAGTACTGTGTAATTGCAAGTTGATTGTTGGGAAGTCGACTTCACAATATCAATGTTTGTAAGAAGCTGCATGACCCACTGTTCCGCTCTGGTTAACAACACTCAGAAGTCAACATATACCGGAAGCATTTTTTTCATACCGAACTTTACATTTTGTCCTCAATTTAAATTGCACAACAACAAAAATAAAATAACAAATGAAAAATTACAAGAGAATCCGACATATTTACAACGCAAAATTAGGGGAAAGCAGCAACAAAAACGAAAGCTTTATACGGACACCTTTGACACAATATTAACAGAATAAGACTAGGTGTTCCGGAAACGTAAGCGTCTTTGTAAATCTGGGTAACTTCAAGCAAGAAATGTTTAAAATCATCAGATTAAACTTCTGATGAGCATCAAATTCATTTTACTTTATACCAAACAAAAACCCAAAGTGCAGAGAAAACATCTAAATTCATGTCACACAACAATATCACCAGGTGTACTCTTGTCACACAACGAAATCACATGGTGTACTCTTGTCACACAACGAAATCACAAGGTGTACTCTTGTCATACAACGAAATCACAAGGTGTACTCTTGTCACACAACGAAATCACATGGTGTACTCTTGTCACACAACGAAATCACAAGGTGTACTCTTGTCATACAACGAAATCACAAGGTGTACTCTTGTCACACAAAGAAATCACCGGGTGTGCTCTTGTCACACAACGATATCACCAGGTGTGCTCTTGTCACACAACGAAATCACCAAGTGTACTCTTGTCACACAACGAAATCACAAGGTGTACTCTTGTCATACAACCAAATCACCAGGTGTACTCTTGTCATACAACGGAATAACCAGGTGTACTCTTGTCACACAACGAAATCACCAGCTGTACTAACTAAGGAGAACACACATAACATCAAATCGTATTAGGCAATGTAACATATAACTATATGACAATGATACAAATATTTACATAGCTCATTTATGGATCTCATTTCTCAAAATTACTCATGTGTTTTATATCACTACGATAATGATACCAGACTAGTGTTACACAATATAAAGAAGTATTTGCAAACATGACCATTAATAAATTATATCAATGTATACGACGCTGTAAGAAAGTCAGCCATTGATCTCGATAAGTACATGTGTAGGTGACATATTGAGTGGACAGGTAAGCCGATCGCTGTAAACGCTTACGTGTAAACACATTACCAACTGTAGGCCACACCTTAGGCTGAATATAATCGTCAAATTGTTTATTCACAGTAAACTTTCAGGACGTATGTCATTCAGCTGGTATTTACAGCAAGTGCATACTAATGAGGTAAACATGAACTATTAAAAAATCACGATTACACAATGATCTATCTTTAGAATTTTCGATACTCCTGGGGTTACGATAACTACATCCTCGATACTCCTGGGGTTACGATCACTCTCGCTCTCTGCACCTCTGCAAAATGCCATGACAAAAATTAAAGGCACAAGCGAAGTAATTTGATGGTTCCAGGAGAAAAAAACCTGACCAATCACAGACTGCTACGCTTCTTGTGAAGATTACAAGGGAGCGACACCCAGCTTCTAAGTCATTACAATATACCGTTATGCGACCTGAAAATGGTGTCGCACATGGAACCTTCAGTTTTCCACTGAAATGTTCCAGGGGTGCAAAGAGCGAAAGTGATCGTAACCCCAGGAGTATCGTAACCCCAGGGGTATCGAGAATGTAGTGATCGTAACCCCAGGAGTATCGAGGATGTAGTGATCGTTACCCCTGGAGTATTGAGGATATAGTGATCGTTACCCCAGGAGTATCGGGGATGTAGTGATCGTAACCCCCGAAGTATCGAGGATGTAGTGATCGTTACCCCAGGGGTATCGATGATGTAGTGATCGTAACCCCAGGAGTATCGAGGATGTAGTGATCGTAACCCCAGGGGTATCGATGATGTAGTGGTCGTAACCCCCGGAGTATCGAGGATGAAGTGATCGTTACCCCAGGGGTATCGATGATGTAGTGATCGTAACCCCAGGAGTATCGAGGATGAAGTGATCGTTACCCCAGGGGTATCGATGATGTAGTGATCGTTACCCCCGGAGTATTGAGGATGTAGTGATCGTTACCCCCGGAATATGGAGGATGTAGTGATCGTTACCCCCGGAGTATGGAGGATGATCTTTATGATATTTTATGTAATAATTTATTTCCTCGGTAGACAGAGTGAGATTAAAACCATACATTTTACACGCTTTACGATGGGTGGTTGTCCTGAATATGATGTAGCTGAAATAAGATAAAATATTAAAATATTCAGTGATACAGCTCCCTCAAAGGCATTTTAATAAAAAGTTTTTAAGTACACGCGAAACAGGATTTTCTAGATAACAAAAAATGTACAAGATTACATCGTCTAATGTGTTTTCTAGAAGTGATCATATATACCCACATAATCATACATTATCATGGTACTCTGAACAAATGCTTAACTCTGAAATTAGACTTGACATAAAAGGTTTTAAAATGATTATAATGGTTTCAATTCACAAGAAAGTGTGTTGCAGATAATGAATAATTCAGAACCAGTCACTGTCAGCCATTTTACTGGAGTCCTGATCAGCATATGTCTGAAATGAATGTCTGGATGTTTTCTTTATAAACAATACAGAATATACGATACCCGTAGCTGATGACTAATTCAGATTTTTGAGATTTGAAGACAAAAACCATCTTCAAAAATGTGTTGAAACAATATATCTATGAAAGCTTCCTTTTGAAATTAAGTTTATCAGTCTGTTAAAGCTGTTAAAGAAAGAAAACCGGGTTTACTGAAACACAATGTACGGCATCTCCGATTACTTGCCAAAAGATCACTGAAAAGATCTGAACAATATATATATCGTATTGTATCTAGTTTTATTCATCAGGAAAAGTGCTTTTCACTAATATGTCGTTTTTGTAATCTTTTACAAACGTGTTCAAAATTTAAGTCAAGTAATATGAAAGTCTATATAACTATCCTGTTCTAAATAGGAGGTTGCCATCTCTCCTGTTAATGTTTGAATCTGTTACTTTCTATATATATTCATAAAACATGTGCTACTATGTTCAATGTTTTTTGTACCAGACGTAATGATCTTCATATTTTCACAGGTTGGTTTTACATCATGAAATCTGATGAAGCACAGCCAAAAGTGCACAAGACGGTGGCATCCCTGGCAGGAGGACCAGTTAAATTCTATGTGGCCTCCAGCCTCAGCTATCTGGCTCTCAATGAAGAACCAGGGAAAAAGAAACCACACACGATTGACAGTCGACACATGGAGGCAGGTGAAATTCTGGAAGGATCACAAACAGCTGGAACGGCCACTATCAGAAAGATGTTGAAAGTAGATACGGAGAAAATGCTGAGGGAGAAATTTCTTATTTGTAATGACGAAAAAGATGATAAAATGATATTGCCGTTGTCAAAGAATGGAAAATTCTATGAAATAGCCTGTGAATCCGAGGGATTCATGGATTCGGATGGTCTAAGGAGGATTTCCTATATCATATCGAAGAAAGACAACTTTCCGTTCAAAATTCGGCACATCATTGGCGAACTTCCATCGCTGTCTTCTTGTTATAGGAATGTGTTACAGTGCCTGGATGTGATTGAGGAGGAAACAGTTCTAGCGTCGACGTTAGATAAAATGACTATGATACCGCTAGAGTTGCAACTTGACTCACCATTTAAATTCAAGATGGGATTGAATGAAAGTCAGTTGAGGAAATCTGACAATTATCTCGAGGCTCTTCATATGTGTGAAACGGACGGAGAGGCTTACGTTAGAGGTATTAAATTGACCTTCACAATTTCTCCCGCAAGCTCTCTCATAAGTTCAACTACTTCGATTGAAAGTGACGGAAGTTTGATGTCACAGTCCAAGCTCCCAGGGACGCTGGAGAAGGACAGTATGGATGTATCTCTGCGTAAGCATCGTGCTTTACCCATGGAAACTTTCGAAGGTTCCGACCCCTCACAGCAAGAACGAGCGTCATATGCGGAAACTGCGACGTCCCTAGATGATGTTCCATCATGTTACGACACCGGAAGTGAAATCGAAGAGGAAGATGCTCAGTCAGAATTCATGTTCAAATGGGCGCCACCGGAAAATGTAAAGCGTTTGTCATCCAAGAAAAAGACGCTTGAAAAAATACCCGTACCACCGAAAGTGTTCAACAGTTCTATCAACAAAATTAACAGTCCCAAATCGTCTGTGGAAGAAAACATACATGTAGTTTGGAATGAACAGCCGGATGTAGTTTGATCTATTGAAATGAGTTGATAATATTTGTCACAGGACACTTAGTATATATAATGCGTATCACCGTCGAGCTGTATAATAATAACACAAGTCATTATAGAGCTTCTGAATATTAATTGTCGAAGGCAACAAAATGTAAACTCGTTTTATCGGTGCAATTTCAGTTTATGCATACTAAAACATGATGTAAAGTGACAAGTAACGCATAACTTAACGATGAAACTTTTTTGACGCGACATTAAATTGTCAAAAAAAAAAAAAATAAAACAGTGGTTAGTCAAACACTTTACTTGTACACTATGAACTAATTACCGTTCACGTACAACATGAACTTCTAATTACCGTTCACGTACAATATGAACTTCTAATTACCGTTCACGTACAACATGAACTTCTAACTACCATTCATGTACAACATGAACTTCTAATTACCGTTCACGTACAACATGAACTTCTAATTACCGTTCACGTACAACATGAACTTCTAATTACCGTTCACGTACAACATGAACTTCTAACTACCATTCATGTACAACATGAACTTCTAATTACCGTTCACGTACAATATGAACTTCTAACTACCGTTCACGTACAATATGAACTTCTAATTACCGTTCACGTACAATATGAACTTCTAACTACCGTTCACGTACAATATGAACTTCTAACTACCATTCATGTACAACATGAACTTCTAATTACCGTTCACGTACAACATGAACTTCTAATTACCGTTCATGTACAATATGAACTTCTAACTACCGTTCACGTACAATATGAACTTCTAACTACCGTTCACGTACAATATGAACTTCTAATTACCGTTCACGTACAATATGAACTTCTAATTACCGTTCACGTACAATATGAACTTCTAACTACCGTTCACGTACAATATGAACTTCTAACTACCGTTCATGTACAATATGAACTTCTAATTACCGTTCATGTACAATATGAACTTCTAATTACCGTTCATGTACAATATGAACTTCTAATTACCGTTCATGTACAATATGATTCTAATTACCGTTCATGTACAATATGAACTTCTAACTACCGTTCACGTACAATATGAACTTCTAACTACCGTTCATGTACAATATGAACTTCTAATTACCGTTCATGTACAATATGAACTTCTAATTACCGTTCATGTACAATATGAACTTCTAACTACCGTTCACGTACAATATGAACTTCTAACTACCGTTCATGTACAATATGAACTTCTAATTACCGTTCATGTACAATATGAACTTCTAATTACCGTTCATGTACAATATGAACTTCTAATTACCGTTCATGTACAATATGAACTTCTAACTACCGTTCACGTACAATATGAACTTCTAACTACCATTCATGTACAACATGAACTTCTAATTACCGTTCACGTACAACATGAACTTCTAATTACCGTTCATGTACAATATGAACTTCTAACTACCGTTCACGTACAATATGAACTTCTAACTACCGTTCACGTACAATATGAACTTCTAATTACCGTTCACGTACAATATGAACTTCTAATTACCGTTCATGTACAATATGAACTTCTAACTACCGTTCACGTACAATATGAACTTCTAACTACCGTTCATGTACAATATGAACTTCTAATTACCGTTCATGTACAATATGAACTTCTAATTACCGTTCATGTACAATATGAACTTCTAATTACCGTTCATGTACAATATGAACTTCTAATTACCGTTCATGTACAATATGAACTTCTAACTACCGTTCACGTACAATATGAACTTCTAACTACCGTTCATGTACAATATGAACTTCTAATTACCGTTCATGTACAATATGAACTTCTAATTACCGTTCATGTACAATATGAACTTCTAACTACCGTTCACGTACAATATGAACTTCTAACTACCGTTCATGTACAATATGAACTTCTAATCCGTTCATGTACAATATGAACTTCTAATTACCGTTCATGTACAATATGAACTTCTAACTACCGTTCACGTACAATATGAACTTCTAACTACCGTTCATGTACAATATGAACTTCTAATTACCGTTCATGTACAATATGAACTTCTAACTACCGTTCACGTACAATATGAACTTCTAACTACCGTTCATGGACAACTTCTGATTACCGTTTATCCACAATATCAGTTATAATTACTCTTTATATACCAAAAACTAATATGTACCTTTGTTACATGTCTGTTTTAATGTTAGAACTTAACACCAATAGCAATCAACTGTGCAATTGTATCGATTTTATTGCTTTACCACGTTTATGTTCATTCGTTATATACATTTTTCATTAAAAATTATATGAATTCATTTCTTGTTTGCGATTGTTAATTACAGTAGCGAAAGCCAAATAATCTCTACGTTGTCTCGGAGTTTACGTTGTTACAATTTTACCGGGTTTGATTATCATCGGGTTTTGATACCACGGCATAAACAGTGGTGTAGTCAGTTGAACTGCCGTCCTTCCACAGTTTTGTCTTGTTTCATTTTAATGAAAATCAGCAAGAAGTTGTATTCCGGTTATTGAAACTATGATGAATATTCGCTTTAAAATTTACTGTTACTCATTAACACTAACAAAAAATGAAAGGCTTACTCTCGCTGTTATGAAATTATTAACTGTAACAAGACGCCTGTTAAAATTTACACAGTGATCACGTTTTAAATCGAAACAAGTCTTAAAGACTTAATCAATTATCAACTTTAAACCTGAAGTCTTCTACTAGTCAGAAGTGAACGTGGTTATCCTGAGGAGAGACAGTAAGAATTTGTCTGTAATAAGTAGCCTTTATTTACATCACTTAGCTGTGATATGATAGCGTAAATTAAAAAAAAAGCAAGGTTTTAAAATGATTTAATATTACTTCTTCCTGGTTCAACTATCGACATACAAGCTAAGTTATAGTTCACTATATTGACTTCCGTGGTTTTTATCGGTAATGTCTACCAGCGCAGGCCACGACACCTTCAGCGACATCTGTAATGTTTGTATCTTCATAGACTTCAATGTCAATTTATGATCGAATCTTATTTGATAAGAATTAATTTCAAACATTTATCATACATTTTTCTTGATAAATGATTTAATGAAATAACGGGGATAAAAACACAAGAACAAATCTTATCTATAGTTGAAATCTTTCTAGACTAAAAGGATTCAATTTGTGGTAAATTAAAGGGCTGTGTACCTTTGATGTCTCCTGACATTTCTGTTACTGATGCAGAGATATTGGTATCCAGCACCTGAACCTGGACTGCTCTTGAAGGCACGGGATCCTCGGCAGTTTGCCCATGGCAAGCGGTTGGATTAGTAAGCATAAACGAGGGAGGTCCGTATCCTTATAATTTATAAGCAATCTATTGCCAGTATTTCTTCTTTGGAAAGATTTATAATATGTAGGTGAGATTTCCTTCGTTATCAAGCAAGCCTAGTTTTTTTATGTACAGGAAATATAACAATGTTTTCCAGACAAGGATCAACTTATTGAACACCTTATCTGGCACAATATCATACCTGTCATGTAAATCTTGAAGTGTGGATTTAACATCAGTATCGAGGAAAGCTAACCTGTGTTTTGTTCTCATTATAAATTTCACACTGCAAATTCTTTTTAAAAGGATGGACAGAATCTAACTTGCTCAGATAGTAAATGTAACCCATTCATCCATTCTATGACATAGTTTTCTACAGAATCGATAAGTATCGTGGCATTCATATTCCAATTAACGGACGGGGTCTCACGATATCTCGTGGCTTAACAGTTTGAATAATATTTAAGTTAGTGTGTGCCCAGGAAAAACAATCTTTTCAGAAATGTTTACAGTATAATGGAAACAAGTCTGATTGGTATTACTGAGAACTAATCACATGGATATATGTATCCAAATAAAAGTATGCATGTTTAAAACCAGGTTTAGATTTAAAGAGACTACGTCTATTGTTTTATCCATTTTATAAAAAAAAAAACCACGTTAAATGAAATGCATGACAAGAATTCGATATCGTAATGTACCTATGGAAACATACTGAGTATCTCAAACAAGCTTATCAAAACAGGTCAAAAGACCTTACGAAAACCTAGTAACGCGAGATTTCTATGATAACCACTTATTTCCACCAGAAAAGAGAGACAGAAATAAAGCCAGAAAGAAGGAAAAGAAATATAATGCGGACATGATAACATGTAGCAGTTGATTCGATATTCAAGGGCCTGTCCCCATTGTCACGATTCTCGTGATAGAAGTCGTCAACTGATGGTCAAAATCGTAACACAGGGTTTCAAAAGATGCATGTTGATGAAAATTCTGAGGACATTTTACAGTCGCCATATTGATCTCATTGCGAAATATTCTATTTCTTTGTATGATATGAAGTTGTACGTGTTTGATGCTCGCAAGTTACCATTCGTGAAAAGCTCTCGCAGCTTTTCGGTAAAGCTGAAATCACCAGTTACTATGTACCCAGTTAGACCACAGTTATAATTTAGTAGAGGTAGAACAAGGAAAACTGACGGACGACAAATCAAGGACACTTCAGACTCTCCACATCAGTCACTTACCTCAATCTTTTCCTACAATGAAACAAACATGGACGGATTTCCATCAAGCAGTACGATAGGCGTGATGATTTCAATTTTCTATTTCTGGAAAGCAACAGCCATGAATCCCCAACCTATGGTGTTTTCATGTCGCAGCTGATTCAATTATCTTGTGCTTGTTTCCAGTGCCACGATCAGACGTCAGCAACTGACAGACTCACAACACGTGGCATATAAAGATGCAGATAGAGAAAGATTTTGGAGAGTTTTACGTTTGTCATCATGATATCGACGAGAAAGATTTCTTTGTGACACGTGTTTGATGTTAATTAAAATGAGAAATTTGTCATTTACCTTGTTCTTATGGGTAAAAGTGACACAACATACTTGGATTGACCAAGATTTACAAAGAGGGTGTCGTCGATGAAGCAGAGGACGCGAACCCTTCCG